TCTCTTCTGAAGGCTCATCTTTAAAAACAAACAAACAGGGCTGGGGAGATGGCTCAGTGGAATAAGCACTTCCCTGGCAAGCGCAAGGGCCTGAGTTCAATCCCAAGTTCTGAAAAAACAAACAAACAAACAAACAAACAAACAAAAACAAGCAAAACCTGCTTCCAAGTTCACTTGGCTCAGACTAGCAATATAGTTTAGGGGTAAAGAGTCTGCTTAGTATGCATGAAGCCCTGAGTTCCATCCCCAGCAGCACAAAATAAACACTAAGTTCACAACTGTGTAGATCAACTACAATGTCTTTAGACTGAGAGCCTCTACTGTTTGATCTTTGTTGGAAACTGCTCAGTTCCTCATCACGTAGACTTTTCCATCACGGTAGCTTGCTTTGTCATGCAAGCTGGGAAGATGATAGGGAGCCTCTGCTAGGAAGACAGAAGTTACAATCTTACATAATCATGAAAGTATGTCACCTTTGCCATGTTCTTTTGGTTAGAAGCAAGCCACAAGTCACTATGCATGGTGGCAACATGCCCATAATCTCAGCACTCTGGGATGTTGAGGCAGGAAGATCACAACTCGAAACCCAACCTGAGTAACTTAGCAACTTAGTGAGATACTATTTCAGAATTTTAAAAAGGGCTGTGAATGTACTGTAGCTTAGTGTGAAGACCCCAGTTTGATTCCCAGTGGAGAAAGCAGCAAGTGATAGGTTATCCTCAGAAGATTGCACAAAGGCATGAACACCAGGAAGTAGGGATCTGTACAGATTAATTTATTTTATTTTTGAATGTATTTAGTACAGGGTCTACAGGGTCTTGCTATGCAGATCAGACTTGTAGTGATCTTCCTGTTTCCAGACTCCCAAGTGCTGGGATTATAAGCATGCATCATCACACTCAGTATCAATTGCCATCTCAGTGTGCCCTGGATGTGGGGCTGGCACAGCATGCCGGGAACCAAACCCAGCTGTTGCGCTCTGCCTAAGCAGGTGCTTTAATCCACTGAGCTATTTGGCTGGCCCTATGTACAGGCCAATTTAGAATCTACCTACCTACTTGGAGGACACCCACCTACCCAGGCCTTGATCTTTGTCTTTATCATCTCCTCAGCTTGCATGACAAACCAAGCTACCATGATGGAAACGTCCACGTGATGAGAAACTGAGGGCAGCTTGTGACAAAGATCAAGCAGGTCTTCCAGAAGAGGAAGAAATGCAGGGCGACAAGAGAAATTGTTTGTCGTATCTTTGCTTCATCCTAGGCAATGGACAAAGTGTTTCAGATGTATTAATTCTTTGACTCTTTTGAAAGACTTTTAAGAAGTAGAAACATTATCAGAGTCACCAAGCGAGTAAGGGACACGATCCAGGACTGTGTGTGACTCCAAGTCAGTCCTCATAACCTTCCTCCCAAGAGCCTCCCCAAGCACCATAAGGCAAGACTAGGGATTCTGGCCAAGGGCCACAAGCTATGTCAGGACAGTGTATATGCTTCCCTTTATTGTTGTTCTAATTGTTACTATTTTTTTCAATGCTGGGAATTGAACCCAGTGAGAGCTGAGCTATGTTCCCAGCCCTTTTTAATATTGTTTTTATTTTGAGGCAGGATCTCATAAATTACCTAGGCTGAGATTGTACATGTATTGTTCTGGCTCAGCCTCACATACAGATGAATTACAGGCCTGTGCCACCCAGCCTGGCTATGCTGTCATGCCTTTAAGACAATCTGGTCATCTGTTGACATGGAAGAGACAGAAACAGTACCCATTAGAAGAGGCAGAAAAAAAAGTGCCAGAAACTTGCTTTTCTCTCTGATATACACTGGGCACACAGGAAATACAATCTGTATCTTGGTCATTATTTGGAAAGAAATCATATGTAGTTGCCTTTGTACCATGGAAAACTTAGAATAGAACTTCTAGGGAAAATGTATGTATCAGTTCCATTTTTTTCCCTATGGACACAAAGATATTCATATCATAGAGATTTTGGAGCTATATAACATGACTAGAAAAAAAAAACATGACTATAAAAAGACAAAAAATATCCAATAAAACACCTGATTTCTCCAAACAAGAGATTCTCTAAAAGGAATCATTAATATTCACCATATCATCGTTAGGAGGTTTAAATTAGATAATACAGTTAATGTCAAGCACATACTTGAAATTTTAAAGGAGTCAGGCTTGGTGGCATATGCCTGTAATACCAGCACTCAGGAGGCTGAGCAGGAGGATCATCACGAGTTTGAGGCCAACCTAGACTAAATATCCTGAACTTGGGCCAGCCAGAGAGCTCAGTGGACTAAAGTGCCTGTTTAGGCAGATGCAGGAACTGGGGTTGTATCCCCAGTTGTGCCCTGCTGGCCCTGCCCCTGGGGCTTACTGAGACAGTGATTGAGACCAGGCATGGTGGCATGTGCCTATAATCCCCAGGCTTGGGAGGCTGAAAACAGGAGAATCACTATGAGTCCAATCTGTGTAGTAAGACCCTGTAGACCTTGTACTAAATACATTAAAAAAAAAAAATCTAGAGCTACATAGCAAGACTTTGTCTCGAAAGGAAGGAAAGAAGGAAGGAAGGAAGGAAGGAAGGAAGGAAGGAAGGAAGGAAGGAAGAAAGGAAGGAAGAAAAAAA